AACCAATCTATCAACCGAGGAATGAACCAGCTAACCAATCTATCAACCGAGGGATCAAAATCACCAAGCAATCAATCCAACTAACCAATCTATCAACCGAGCAGTCAGACCAACAAACCAATCAACCAACCAACCAATCAGTCAGCCAGCCAATCAACCAACAACATACTAATCAACTCAAATCAATCCAATTCCACTATTCAATCCAAATTCACAACAATTTTCTCATTTCGCATTATATCATTATATTACTAATTAAATATATCTAAAAGTTAATAACACTTCAACTTTCCAAAATTTCAAAAAAAAAAAACATATCAATTTTTGCAAGATGCAAAGGAAAAAAAATCTGATTCGAAAATAAATAAATAAACAAACACAAAAAAAAACAAAAATCTTTTTTTGATAAATACCGTTGACAATCTTTTTCGACAAAACAATGAGCAGCTGTCAATATATGTCTGTCTGATATCATAGTACCGGAACAACTTGATTGTATACCTGAAATTTTACACTTTCATTTTATCATCTATATGTAAATTATTGAGCAAAAAATAGAAATAAAAACGAAAATTTGCTCGAATTTAGTGTTGATAGAAATTTTTTTTTTTTGTTCAATTGCAAGAAAAAAAAACTAACAAGTTTATACTTTAGTGGATGATTGCTATAAATATAAAATTTGCAATGGCATATTCAAGAATTTAGGAAGAAAAAAGAGAACAAAACGGTTGATATCAGTTGATCAGTAATTATTTTAATTTTTTGACCGCAATGTAAAAAATCTTTTATAACTTATCCAATCAATTGTTTGTTTTTTTTTAACTTATCCAATCAAATAAAAATTTTTAACTTTTTGAATATTGTAAATGAACCGAAAAAAATAAAAAATTCAGCAAAATAATGAATATTTTCTCTTAATTTAATTAATTTTATGTGGTTTTTACATTATTAAAAACTAATTCATCAGATGCAGAATAATTTATTAGCATGAAATTTGTTCTATATGTTAATAAATATTAAAATTCATTAAAAAAAAAAAAGAAAACAAATTGTACCATTTTTTGAATATTGTAAATGAACCGAAAATGGTGCTTCACTTTGTTTTACGTTGATACCACCCATTAAGAAACGTGGCATATTATTTCTTTGCATATTTCTCATCACTGCACGTGCAACACGTCGAGGTTGCATAAAATTAATTTGATTAAATGTATGAATATCTTTTTTTTTTAAAAATTATATTCATTTGATAAATATATTGCAAATACATTCTGAGACAATTGGAAATAGTTACCATCAATTTTTTCATTTTTTATTTAAATAAAGGATTTATATTATATATCATCAATTTACAAACAATTTTTCATATTGTTGAAAGTATTAAATTTAAACCTGTATAACTCTCCTAAAACAAAATGCAAATATCGCAATGGTTAAGGACAAAATTTTTAAATCTAATTTTAAATGATGAAAAGTGTATGACGCACGTCAACATTATTTTGCATATTAGCTCTGCATCTCATCCATAACTTTGCAACTTCATCTGCTGTCAGTCTTGTTAATAATTCTGTTGTTTCATCAGCAAGTAATATCGTACCACAAATCCAAATGTATATTATTCTGAAAAAAAATTTTGCTTACTTAATTGAGTTAAATTTAGCATCATTAATTCATTTTAATTTATTTAATTCCAATAGCATATGTTTAAAAAACTTTTATTTATTTGATTTACATTTTATTACACTCGTTTATTTAGCCTATAAAAATTGAAAGAATTGCATTGATAAATTTCACAGGATAATAACTTATGGTATATTGATAGTAGCCAAAAAAAAAAACTAATCATAAAGCTACAGAATAGTGAGAGGAAAAATAATTATCAAATTATCAAATTTCGGTTTTTATTAAGAAATTTTTTTAGAAAAATGAATTTATTAAAGAAAAAATTAGGAAGGGTGAAATTTTTTCTTCTGTTTTACCTCATATTTTCATTATGTGAGGATTTTATTTTATTAAAATTAATCTAACCTAAACATGAAAGCTTCTTCTCAACAATTCCTTATTCATAATGAAAATAAAGAAAAATGCTAATTAACTATTGAATTATTACGGAAGTATTTGGACTACTTGAGTGACCAATTAACAGAGTATTGAGATAAATTAAGGTAAGAGATAGAATGTGATACAAACCTGCAGTTCATTGTTGATAAATGTCAAGACCTGAAATAGAAGAAAAATTTTTTCAAATTGCCTTTTGATTATATACAATTTATACCGAATGATTTGCATTTACAAAGAATATACTCTCATAAATACAATAGTTTCCATTTATTCTACATGAAATTTACATTAATAAAGTTTAAAATCGTGAGAAAAATTTGAAGTGTCGGTATCAGTCTTTGATAAAAAATGAAGAAAAAAATCTTTTTGCATTATTTTTATAGATTATGAAAAAATATAACATGAAAATACTTCAATTTTCTCTTTTCATGATTTTCTTCATTTTTAATTCTATAATTTGTAATTTTGCATTCGAAAATAAATAATCCATTTGTCATTTATTATTTCATATCAATAAAACATTAATTAAATTTTTTTTTTTTTGGAATTTCATTGATTGTGATATTTTTTAGTTATGGTATTTTCTCACATTCATAAGCGAAAATTATCAATTCATTAGCGCTGAGAAAATCATTCAACGACTGTTTAATCATAAAACAGCAGAAATATTAATCATAAAGCCATTACTTCTTATCGCGATCCTTTGCTTAATTTTTTTTCGTTTTTTGTTGTTGAAGCAATCATTACTTCATGCTGTATAATTAATTTAATTTAATTGAATTTAACTTAATTCAGCTTGCATTATCCATTAATTATATTATTAATAATGCTCAAGTATATGCTTGATATTAATTATAGCTTCATATAGTATGGCTATTATTTTATTATCAAAAAATATCATATCATGCAATCAAACAAAGTGTTATCGGTGATCCTAAAATAACTTTATAATATAAAATATTGAAATAATGCATTGTTGTATTCCTGAAATTAATATTATTAGAAATCTTTTTATCTCAGACATTCTCAATCAAATAATAGGATAAGCTTAGTATTTCAATTTGCTATTGAAAAGAGTACTGTAAGTAATTAACATCAAATAATTATTTCCTTTTTAATATCGGCTTTGTCTATTATATGTTCAGTGGATTCTTTCTTTGCTACCAAATGACCAAGCAATTGTTTGCTAACCAACAAGCTATATTCTTCATTTGCAATAATGTTTATCGAGAATTCATCGAGAACTGGTCCATCTCAAGAGGAGCGTATTCTTCACCGCAATTTATCAACCATTTACATACTCCTCTGAACTATGACCTCAATAAGCAATCTTACTATCATCTACACTCCTTTGAATCATATCCTCCTCTTCTTGTATTATAAAATTAAGAAAAATAAGCCTTTCTATCAAGTAATAACTCTTGATACAATTTAATTGTACCAAATTCAAACTATCCATCAAATAGAATCCCAAAAAAAAAAAAATTCATGAGAAGTGTTGTAATAATTATTTTAATATTTCAATAAAATGTTATGAATTGAATTTTATTGAAATATTGAAATAATTATTATCACAACACTTCTCGTGAATTTTTTAAAATAATAATTGTAATTTACATAATAAAAAAGAGATATTTAAATAATAATTATAATTTACCTAATAAAAATGAAAATTTTATAAAATCAACACATTAAATGAGAAAGTCACTTTGAAGTGTTGAAGAGTGATTGTTATTATGCAGTCTCAAATTGAAATGTTGAAATCGAGAAGAAGGAAAGAACATCGAAAGCGGTATTTTAAGTTGAATTGATTAACTAATTAATGCTAGAGAATTTTGGTGTTCTCACTTCTTTTTTTCCTTCTTAATTTGTTATTCGATGTGTTTTGAATTCACTACCAATAAATAAGCTTTTAATTTTCATCTTTTATCATTTTCTTCTTCCAGTGGAATTAATACCTTGAAATTATGAACTGTAAATTAGTTAGTTGGAAATTTAAACTTTATTTTAAAACCTAAACTAAAATTTAACATAACTTATCAAATAACTGTATTTCATTGAAGCAAACGATACATCGATGCATCCAATCGGTGCACTATTAATTATCATCATTCGAGAAATAAAATTAAAACGCATAGCGATACAAAAAATTCCGAACAAACAATCGGCAGTGCAAAATCTTCTTATTGTATTCAATTCATTTCAACAATTTTTAAAATACTAAAATTTCTATAAGAAAATTATCAAAAATTTGTGAAATTTTTTTCTTTTTTCGAAAAAAAACAAAAAATGAAATTGAAGATTTTATATTGCATTATTAAAATTTTTCAATTATATTCCATTATTGCTCAGTTGAACGACCAAAAGTTGTACCACCAACATTGAATGAGTTCAACAAATGGCGCTATATTGGTGTTTGTACAAAGTATGAAGCGGAATCATTTGTTCATTATTTGACAGAATTTCGATTGTATCATCAATTGGATACTTCGGTAACGGAATTACTTTTAATCATTTACATTATCGCAGTGTAATTTAAATTTAGCCACTATCATTTAGCAGTTAACGTAATAATTGAAATAATTATCATTTATTTATCCATATAAAACTTGCCATTTTTGCTCGATAAAAATTCACCATACCCATTTATCAAATATATATTAATTTTGGCTAAAATAATTCCAAAAATGAATCCAAATTTAAATTGACTAAATATAAATAGTTCAAACTGTTTCACTATTAAAATAGTGGATAGTTCAATTCTTTTTTTTTTCATTATTTAAACACATGATACGTGATTAAAATTATTTTATTATTCAAATACAAGATAGGCAATTCGAATTACTTCATCATTTAGGCATGTGATAAGTAATAAGTTAAATTATTTCATTATCTGCCCTAAATTATAGCATTATATAAATTAGATAAATTTTACTGACTCAGCAATTTTGTTTTAGTACAGTTTTGCTTAACTGTATTTCTATATTGAAGTAAGAAACAACAAATATTGAATATCAAAAAAAAAAAAACAGCAATTTGATTTGAGTAGAATGAATTAGATTTTAGATAAGCTTGGATAATATCAATCGCCTTCCACTTACGGTGGTATATCGTTCATCGGCAGGTGATTACTTCCATTGGCTTGTTCGAACAATGGGTGAAATAATTGAAAATAAGTATGAATAATCAATCATTTATTCTTCAATTTAAATCTTTGAAATTATCTCCCCAGTATAGCAAGATACTTTTAAACTCAATTAATTAACTTCATTGAAATCAGCTTTTATTAAAGAGTTTTGTCTAAAGATTCAAAATTGTCAAAATTGATAATAAAATCAAATATTCTCTATTTGAACTATCATGCTTAAATTTAAAATAAAATAAGAGATACTTTTAACCTTTTCAAAATCGTAACAATTTCCACTAACTCAAACTTATAAACGTCATATTTGAAAATTTCAGTAATACAAAACAAAAAGAATATAAAATTCAAAGTTATTACATTGAACACGGTGGACCATCTTTACCAACACTAAACGAATTAATCAAATGTTATGAAAATCGCACGTACAATAGACGTGGTCATGTTGATGTATTCCGACTACTATGAAAATTGCGCCATTAATATTTATACAATGTCTTTACTGCTTGTGATCCCGAAGAAAACTTTATATCAGAATTGATTATCTAAATTCCATTTAAATCTCGTCTCATATTTCGAGTATTGGAATAAAATATATCTGAATGCCTACAGTTAAGGACATCTCTCCATATGATAGTTCTTTCCATGCCTAAAAGTGAACAACGTAGTCGCCATGATGTGATCGCACACAGAAAATACCTCAATCCAATTTTTTGAAGTGAAACACAAGCAATATTTTGTCAAAACAGTAAGACTCAAATAAACCATAATCGACCCGCTTCAGCTTTGCTCATCTCGCCCAACAGTAAAATCAATATTGTATATAAAATGAATGTTTTCTCCCACCATCTCAAATTTGCATTTTTTCTTTACAACTCTTCATGTCATTCAGGTATAAATCAAAAACGAAAATTGTATTTAAAAAACAGCAACAGTGTAGCACAGGATTGACAAACCATATAATTAATTCACTAATTATCGTTAAACC